GCAGAGTGCTCGCCAATGAGTGCACTGGCTGGGGAATTCTGACAGTTGAAGTCCGCAACTCCTAAAAGTTCCCAAGGTTGTAAAATAAAACACGCTGATTTATAAAATGCTGGTTCTTGACGTTTGCGGTTTTTACCATAGTTGTCTGCTGAAAGCCAGCACTGCGATTTATGCAATGCAACTGAGAAGAGAAACCGGGGCAAAAACCGTGTAGTTCACAAATCTTAAAGTTGGCAAATTTGGAGAGCCCTTCCTTTAGACAAGAGCCACTCCCTGCAGATGAGAAAGCGAAACTTATGCACTTGCTAAAGGAAGTGTGGAGGCACAAGTTCTGCGACACGTGCATGCAAGAGAGCAGCACCCACCCTCATTTCAACCCTGAACTACAAATATTCTTCTTTATTGAGACTTCTTTTGCAACATTTTTACATCTGGTCGTGAACAAATATTTGGGCAGTCAAACACGGGCACGGCTGATTTTCCCCTTCGGCAGCATTTTGCTTGTAAGTGCCAAATTTCCTGTTGTTTCCTCTCAACCTAGTGTGGCCATTGCACTAATTTTGCAATTAACCATGGCCTCTAATCGAGTGAAGAGTGGTGTGAATGTTGGTGAGAAGAGGGTTTTGAGTAAGATTGACATGAAAACGAAGAAAGAAATTATTGAAAATTATCGGTGTGGTATGCGTGTTACCGATCTTGCTAAAGAGTACAATAAAGCACAGTCTACGATCTCGACTATTTTGAAGCAGAAGGCGGCTATTAAAGCAGCTAATGTTGCAAGGAGAGTGGCAATGCTAACCAAGCAGAGGCCTCAAGTGCTGGAAGAGATGGAAAAGCTGTTGCTGGTATGGTTGAACGAGAAGCAACTTGCAGGCTATACTGTAAGCGAGGCGGTCATACGTGAGAAAGCTAAGACGATACATGGTAATTTGTGTCAGAAATACCCTTCTTCAAGTGGAGAAAGTCATGAATTTAAAGCCAGTAGAGAATGGTTTGAAAGGTTTTGTAAGAAAAATTGTACTCATAATATTGTAAGGCATGGAGAGGCTGCTAGTTCTGACACTGCTGCTGCTGCTGCAGAAGCGTTCGCGAAAGATTTCGCTAAATTCGTGGAGGCTGAAGGATATGTCCCACAACAGGTATTTAACTGCGACCAGACAGGCTTGTTTTGGAAAAAGATGCCAAAGAGGACCTACATCACACAGGAGGAGATGGCTATGCCCGGCCACAAGCCAATGAAAGACAGATTGACCCTTCTGCTGTGTGCGAACGCAAGTGGCGATCTAAAAATTAAACCGCTAGTCGTCTACCAATATGAGAACCCTCGTGCGTTCAAGCAGCACAATGTAAACAAGACCAGACTGCCCGTGATGTGGAAAGCTAATACAAAGGGTCTGGTCACAAGGAGCTTGTTTTTGGAATGGCTGCATGAGGCTTTCGTTCCCGCTGCTAGGGAATATCTTTCCGACAATCATCTGCCTGAAAGGTGCCTTCTTCTGATGGACAATGCACTGGCACACCCTCCCAGTTTGATTGACCTAATGGACAATGAGTACGACTTCATTGAGGTCAAGTTTCTCCCCCCAAACACGACTCCTCTTCTGCAGCCCATGGACCAGCAAATAATTTCCATCTTTAAGAAGCTGTACACTAAGGGACTCTTCACCAGGTGTTTTAATGTCACCGAAGACACGTCTTTGACCCTGAGGGAGTTCTGGAAGAACCATTTTAATATTGTTCATTGCCTCAGCCTCATCGACAAAGCCTGGGAAGATGTCACGTACTGGACCTTGAACTCAGCATGGAAGAAACTTTGGCCTGAATGCGTTGCTGAGCGAGATTTCGAAGGATTTGAGCCCTCTGTTGTGGATGAGATCGTGTCCATGAGTAACAGCATGGGTCTTGAAGTCGACAGTGATGACATCGAGGAATTGGTCAAAGATCACGATGAGGAACTGACCGCGGACGAACTCGTTGCACTCCAGAATGAGCAGCATAAGGTGCTCACTGAGGAGCAGTCATTGGGGGAAGAAGATGAAAGCGAGGTGATTAAAAGTGATGTGTTGAAAGACATCTTAAGAAAATGGAATGAGTGCCAGAATTTCTTTGAAAAGCATCACCCCGACAAAACTCTTATGAATAGAATGTTGAACATGATGAACGGTCATGTCATCTCTCCTTTCCGTAAAGTTTTGATGCGCAGGAAAAGACATGTCACATTAGAACGGCATTTGGTGACTGTTGGTCCACCAGCTAAATTGATTAAAAAAAACCAAGAAACCTCTGACTCAGAAATCACTGAAGATGAAATATTCGAAGTTGAAGAAATCACAAGAGACAAAACACCTGAAGGAGAACGTCCTTCCCTCGCGCACGCCCCCTCCCTCCCTCCCTCTCTCTCTCCCTCCCTCTCTCCCTCCCTCCCTCAGAATTGACCAACTGAACAGTCTTCTCTTTTGTTCAAGTTTTTGTCAGTGTTTGTATTAAAGGATTTTACATTTCACTATTACACTGTGAGTTCTATGGCATAATTAACATTTCTGTGCTTAAAAATCTTTAAAAGACAATATTTATATACAGTTCATAGGGGTCTGGAATAGATTGATCATATTTACATACAATCCAATGGGGAAAAAAGGTTTGGGTTGCGACCAAAGTTACGGAACGAATTATGGTCATGACCAGAGGTTCCACTGCACTGGCTGTAAAAAGCTTTGAGTGATTTTTTGCACGTTTTAAGACTTTACGCACAAGGGTTAATCAGAGGCAAGAGACCTCTCCTCTGCCTCACTCTTTGCATCAAAACTGATCAAAGCGCAGCAACCGCCACTCAACTGCCTGCAAAGGAGCAAGAATTTGACCAGGGAAGAAGCCTTTGGGGTTTCGTGAAAGGTAACAAAGGCAGGGATACCCCTGGACTGGGGGTACATTTGCTGGTGGTGGGGCCAACACGTGTTTTGAAAGACAGGATTGTTGGGGGTCACCGTGTAATCTTAAGAGCTCTGAGAAATATCCAACCTATCCGGATGCTTCGCTTTCTTTATTCGATTCCAATCCTGCCTTTCCGTTCCACTGAACAGCCAAAGTCTGCAGCAAAAAGTCTCGGCCCGTGGTAAGTTAAGTGTTGCCGTGTCCTCCTGTTGCAGCAGATCCTGTTTCCAAATCAGGACACAAGACCACGAAAGGTTGGAGAATACAGGTTTTTATTTGTGCACACAGTTCAGAGCATTAGAGTGGCAAATTCTGAACCCGTCTCTTCCTGAGGCGTCACTTTTATACATTTCATAACCTCAGCCTAGCCCGGGGCGTTTCTTATGTTAAACTATACCAAAAAGGAAAAGTACATTTCTGTTATTTTCCAGACCCATCCTTATTCACTGAAACATGCTTCCTTCCAGTTCCTTACTTCAGCAATTTTGTGGTTTTGCACAATATTTCTATAAGAAGCAAGGTAAGGGGTCAGAGGATTTCTGGTAAATGCATATTTTGTTTTTGACCTGAAGGCTGTTAGGGGCTAGATGGGGAGCAACGGGTTGAAACTAAACCCTTGCAAGACCGAGTGGCTCTGGGTTTGGGGTTCATTGCCTCAGGGAGAATTGCCACCTTTGGTCTTGGATGGGGTGGCACTACCTCAAACAGACCCGGTGCATAATCTAGGGGTTTTCCTGGACTCACGACTCCTGCTCGAATAGCAGGTGGCGGTCATGGCCAGGAGGGCCTCTGCGCAACTGCGGGTTGTGCACCAGTTACACCCTTTCCTGGGCCAACGGTCCCTACTCACAATCACTCATGCTCTAGTAACTTCCTGTCTTGATTATTGCAACGCATTTTACATGGGGCTGCCCTTGAAGAGCATCCGGAAGCTCCAGTTGGTGCAAAATGTAGTGGCCGGCATGGTTTTTGCGCAGACCCCGGTGTGCACATGTGTCACCTCTCCTACAGGAGCTGCTTTGGTTGCCAATTTGCTTCCGGGTGCAATTCAAGGTGCTGGTTGTCACCTTTAAAGCCCTTCATGGCTTGGGACCAAGTTATCTGAGGGAATGTCTCTTGCCAGTCACATCCACCCGACCTATTAGAGCAAGGAGGCAGGGAATGTTGCGGGTCCCACCCGTGAGGGAAATACACCTGGTGGGACCCAGAAGAAGGGCCTTCACCATGGTGGCTCCCTCTCTCTGGAATATTCCCCCCGAGATTAGAATGGCCCCCACTCTAGCACTCTTCTGGAAGGCACTGAAGACATGGTTTTGGCAGCGGGCCTGGGGAATCCATAGCGGGATGGAGCCCATTAAATGGCTAGTGTGATCTGCTGTTGACGGGGCGGAGGGTGGGAGTTGGGGGGTGATTTTTAAAAAAAAAACATTTCCAGATTTTGTTCTGTTGTACTTTATTGATTGATTTGATTTTGTTAGTTTTTATTGCTTTTTATTTTTTGTTTTGTAAATATGGTTTTACATTGTATAAGCTGCCTCAAGTCGCCATGGGCAAATAGGCGGCAACATAAATTAAATTAAAATAAAATAAAATAAATAACAAATAACAACTAAAAAGAGGGTTAAAGACCACGCTGTCTTGTTGGAAAAGGCAGTGGTGATTTTTCGAGAGTGGGGAAACTCGGAAAGGATTGTGAGTTTCCTGTGGATGGAGCACATTGGTCAGCCCTCACAGGCTCTGCTTCAAAAGCTTCACAACAAAGCTTCAGCAGAGGGCAGCACGAAGCCAAGTTTGGTGGAATCTCAGCAGGCTGGTGGCCTCTTTGGCACATATTTTCTATCTCAAACAAGTGACTCTAGGCGAGGAATGGTTGTAAAGTAGTTAAAAACAGTTAAGATATAATACGAAATGAAATATATACCTGCCAGACCAGAAGAAATGTCATCAAAGATGCCATTATAACTCCTTATGGGTAAACTATGTGCGTTCAGGAAAGCTACACTGAGGCAGCTGCAAAGGATCGGGTTGGAATGATTTGCGAATGGACCTTGTGGAGCTGAGAATCGCTTGCAGGGCATCACTCAGAATAGACACCATTTCAGATGAGCTTGTTGTGGGATACCAGATTCCAACCAGGGTAAGGATTCAAAAGGATCCAGTAAGTGTGGCTGTGCCTCCTACTTTCACAGAAGACTGAATTAAGGTTGAATCGGTGAGCTTTTTGTCTGAGTAGATGTGCCTTTGGCTACAGGAGCAGATTACCTATCCATCCCTCCATTCCTCCATCCATAACAGGGGGTTGTGGTAGAAAACTGCGGGTAGAAAAAGACCTAATGGTCCATCCAGTCTGCCCTTTTGAGTTTTTAATGTGTGTTTTTCAGGAGGCAACTGGACTTTCTTGTTTTTTGTGTGTGTTTTTTTGGAAGATGTTTCACTTCTCATCCAAGAAGCTTCTTCGCTCTGACAGGATAGTGGGGAATGGAAGGATTTGTGTTCCTTGCAGACAGCTCGTCATTTGCATCCTTTTAGAGCAGGGATGTCAAATTCACATCATGGCTGCATCATGTGACATATCAGGACTTTCCCCCCCCCCCCCTTCGCTAAACCGGGTGTGGGCATGGCCAGAATGTGACGCATCTGGCTCGCCGGCTGGGAGTTTGACAGCCCTTGTTTTAGAGGGTCGCTGAAGCACTTGTGTTGAAGCACATCTGTGTTCTCAGGGCCACCTGAGTAGTGCTCCTTGTTCCTCTGGTCTGCAATTTTTCCTCTGGAAATCCATTCCTACATCCCAAATTGTATAGCTAAAAGACTGTAGATTCTCAGTCATGGTTGCCCATTCTCCACTATCCTGTCAAAGCTGAAGAAGCTTGTTGGGTGGGAAGCAAAACGTCTTCAAAGAAAAAGACAGAAAGTCCAGTTGCCTCCAAAAACACCTTTGGGACAACCATGACCTGGATGACTGAGAATTTCTACAGAATTTATTTTATTATTTTTTCAATTTTTTTGTCAGATGGCGGACATCTGTTTATCTCAAGCATATCTAAACACCTATCAATTACAGATAGTCCTTGACTTAGGACCACAGTTGAGCCCAACATTTCTGTTAAGTGAGTTTTGACCAGCTTATGACCTTTTTTGCCTCAGTTGTTAAGTGAATCACTGCAGTTGATAGGCTAGTAACCTGGTTGTTAAGTGAATCTGGCTTCCCCATTGACTTAGTTTGTCAGAAGGTCCCACATGGCCTCAGGACACAGCAACAGTCATAAGTATGAACCAGTTTCCAAGCACCTGAATTTTAATCAGATGATCATGAAGATGCTGCAGAGGTCATAACTTAGAAAAACGGTCATAAGTCACTTTTTTCAGTGCTGTTGTAACTTTGAACGGTCATTAAATGAACTGATGTAAGTTGAGGACTACCTGTACTTACAGTTGATTTATCGCCTCCGCTGGAAGTTGATTCCAAGCTTCCGCTACTCTCTCTGAAGCAATAACTTCTAGCATTATTTTTGAACTCCCCCCCTCTGTAGTTTGAGGTTATGCAGAGTTCTGACAAGAAAAATCCTTCGAATGTATTCTTAGGGACTAGTAGAGAAGATCCAGAGAGAGAAAGACAACATTTTGTCATTCTTGAGATATTTGCAGTTTTCATAAACAATCTCCTCAGTGCTGTTCTTACCCTCTTCCTTTCTTTTTCTATTGAAGGAAACGTGTGTGGAAGAGGGAACATAAAACCCTTGTTCATAGCTAGAAATTTCAGAAAGAGGAGTTGGA